AATTTGTTCACTTCTGGGGTACTGCAAATGCCAGCCCTCCATGTGTTGTGGGCTGTACGTTTTCAGCAAGAATTCTTGGTGTATTAACCTATTGGACCACAGTGGCTGTGGGAGAGGGTTTCGCCTTGTCATGAGGTGTAGGACCCTCTCTTCAGGGATGTAGTAATCTGAATACCCCCAAGTAAGTGGAATCAGGCTTGCAAGGATGACGGGTCATTTCACATTACTAGACTCTGTGCCCACCACTCAGTCCTTTCACCCTTCTCTGTCAGAAAAACTGAGCTTCCCAAAGGCAAATATTATATTACCCTCTCGGTGATAACTGGCTTTTGTGCTCATTAACCTAAGACTATCCTAATAGTCCAGGCTACTTGGGAGTAACTTTTTTCCAGGATGTCACCCTACACACTCTCCTGTTGTCTTAATGTACCCCATTTGGTTCTAATATTTGGATTCTTTCCTTTGTTGAGATCAGACCTACTCTTAAGCCCTGGCCACACCATCTGTTTTTAAGGTCTGTCTCAGAATGTCTAATGTCTTCAGGGACTGCATGTGGTCTACAGGTAAAAAGCAGTAGCTAAAATGCTAGAAACTAAGCATCCAAGCCACTTGCATAGTAACTTCATAGACCAGTCAGCCTCACCTCAGTCTCTGTAAAAATCATAGAGCAGATCCTTAAGGAATGCGTTTCTAAGCACTTGAAGAAAAAGGTGATTAGGAACAGTTGGTATGGATTCACCAAGGGCAAGTTATGCCTGAGCAACTTGATTGCCTTCTATGAAGAGGTGACTGGCTCTGTGGATGCGGTGTACCTTGATTTTAGCAAGACGTTTGATATGGTCTCCCACAAGCATTGGGCTCAGAGAATAGTAATCAATGGCTTGATGTCTAGTTGGCAGCCAGCATCAAGTGAGTGCCCAAGGGTCGGTCCTGGGGCAGGTTTTGTTCAGTGTCTTTATCAGTGACCTGGAAGATGAGATGGAGTGCACCCTTAGCAAGTTTGCAGATGACACCAAGTTGGGGGCAGTAGTGGATACACTGGAGGGTAGGGCTAGGATTCAGAGTGACCTAGACAAATTGGAGAATTGGGCCAAAAGGAATCTCATGAGGGTCAACAAGGACAAGTGCAAAGTCCTGCACTTAGGATGGAACAACCCCATGTACCAGTACAGGCTGGGGGCTGACTGGCTGGGCAGCAGCTCTGCAGACAAGGACCTGGGGTTTACAGTGGACCATAAGCTGAATATGAGCCAGCAGTGTGCCTTTGCAGCCCAGTATACCATTAGCCTTCTGGGCAACATCGGTAGGAGTGTTGCCAGTAGGTCAAGGAAAGTGATTCCCCCTTATTCAGCACTGATGAGGCCACATCTGGAGTACTATGCTCAGTTTTGGGGCTACCACTACAGAAAGGATATGGACAAATTGAAGAGAGTCCAGCAGAGGGCAACAAAAATGGTGAGGGGGCTGGGGTTTGTGACTTGTGGGGGAAGACTTCAGTAATTGGGCCTATCTAGTCTAGAGAAGAGGAGATTGAGGGGGGCAGGACTTAATAGCAGCCTTCAACTACCTGAAGGGGGGTTGAAAAATGATGGAGCTAGACCAGGGGTTGTCAACTGGAGGTACATGGGAAGGTCCTAGGGGATGTGAATGAGTGGGGACAGTGCTGCCACTCGCCATTGTGTGCCAATGCTGCCTCCCAGGAGCAGATGGCAGCGCCCCTCTGCGGGCCACACAGGCACTGCCTGGCTGGTTGGATGCGGGGGTGGGGTGGGAACCTTGCTCACTGTCAGTTGCTGCCACCATCCACCACCCCATGCTGCTGCAGGTGGTTGGACTCGTATGACCTCCTGAGGGGGTCTAACCCTAACTTTCCAACCCTAACTTTCTATGATTATATGATTCTGTGATTCAGTGTCCTACTACAGGAATACTCTAATATATAGGAATTATCACACCGTCGAACTATTGGCGTTCTCATCAGAGTTCAAAACATGGCACTTGACTAGCACCAAAGAAAACAAGGAACCCTAAAATGGCACTTATTAATCTGTAATTAGGCAAGCCTTTTTCCTCACCTATGACAGTGTTTTGATTATGCCATGCAGTATGAAGATGGGAATTCCTTAGCAGTTTCTTATGCTGTAGAGAACTGGACACTACCAGTATAACGCTCAGAATTACTGACAACAAATGTGACCTTGGTTAACGATAAAACTTCTTGATCTGCACTTCTGACACCTGCCAACCTATAATCTCATAGAAATGTCTTTTCATATAACTCATGGTGCTTATTTCATCCTCACTGCTGTTTTCTTAAAGCTAAACTTCAGTCCTGTTCCTGCAGTTACCTTCATAGGGGGATTTTATATGCCTTCATGCAGACTTATTAGCACTTTTTAGGATGAGCATCAGAAAGTGATCAGGCCTGATTTGGTTCATTCGAAAAGTTCATATCCTTTCATATCTTAAAGTACCTATGTATGGAAGTAGCATGTGTTCTAAAAGTCCAAGCACTCCTAAAGAATTGCAGAACGCAGATAGCTTGTGTGTTGCAACCACTTACATCTTGTATTCTTAAATTGTAGATTCATAGAAAATTACAGTTGGAAGGGAACTCAAGAGGCCGTTTAGACGAAACCCCTGCTCAAAGCAGAACCATCCCCAACTAGATCATTCCTGCCAGGGCTTTATTGAGCCTGGCCTTAAAAACCTCTAGAGATGGAGATTTCTCCACCTCTCAAGGTAGCCTGTTCCAGAGCTTGCCACCCAAAGTTTTTGCTAATACCCATCCTAAACTTCCCTTGCTGCTACTTGAGACCATTGCTCTTTGTTCTGTCATCTGCCATCACTGAGAACAGTTTAGCTTCATCCTCTGAAATTGCCCTTCATGTAGTTAAGGCTGCTTATCAAGCCCCCGCTCATTAGTCTTCTGGTTTGCAAACTAAATAAGCCTAGTTCCTTCAGAAGTCATGTGCCCCAGCCCCTTAACCATTTTAGTTGTCCTCCACTGGACTTTGTCTACATCCTTTCTGTAGTGGGGGGGAGGGGCAAAAATGGACACTACTCTAAATGTGGCCTCACCAGTACTGTGAATAGAGGGGAATAATTACTTCCTTCCGTCTGCTGGCATCACTCCTACTAATACATCCCAGTCTCCTTCTTGGCATCAAAAGTCACATTATTGACCCATATCCAACTTATTGTCCACTATAACCCCCAGATCCTTTTCTACAGAGTTGCTGTTTGGCCAGTTGGTTCCTAGCCTGTAGTGGTTCATGGGACTCTTCTGTTCTAAGTGTAGGACTCTGCCCTTGGCCTTGTTGAACCTCATGAGATTCCTTTTGGCCCAGTCCTCCAATTTGTCTAGGTTGCTCTGAATCCTAGTCCTACCCTCTACTACTCTTCTTCCCCCCCGCTTGGTGTCATCTGAAAACTTGCTGAGAGTGCCCTCCATCCCATCTTCCAGATAATTAATGAAGATATTGAACAAAATTGGCCCTAGGGCTGATTCCTAGGGCACTCCACTTGATATCTGCTGCCAACTAGGCATCAAGCTGTTGATCATTACCCATTGAGCCTGACAATCCAGCCAGCTTTCTGTCCACATTACAGGCTGTTCATCCAATCTATACTTCCTTCCTTACTTGGAAGTAAGTATAGCTTACTTCCAAGAATGTTGTGGAAGACTGTATCAAAAGCCTTGCTAAAGTCAAGGTATGTCACGTCCAGTTTTCCTGCTTCCACAGCCAGTCATGTCATCATAGAAAGTGGTCAGGTTGGTCTGGTATGACTTGCCCTTGATTCTTACTGTTCCTGATTACCTTCTCCAAGTACTTAGAAATGGATTCTTTGTGGCCCTGCTCTGTGATTTCTCCCCAGGGAGTGAGGTGAGGCTGACTAGTCTGTAGTTCCCTTGATCCTTCTTGAAAGGGGGCACTATATTTGCTCTTTTCCAGTCATCTGGGACCTCCCCTGATTGCCACAAGTTTTCAAAGATAATGGCCAGTAGCTCTGCAGTCATATCAGCCAACTCCCTGAGCAGCCTCTGATGCATCCTGTCTGGCTCCTTGGACTTGTTCATGTCCAGCTTTTCTAAATAGTCCCTAACCCCTCTTTTTTTCACCAGAGGGCTGTTCACTTTCACCCCAAACCATGTTGCTTGTAACAGTAGCAAGGTGTATTCTAAAAGAACTTATTAAAAATTCCCTCTTTTACTTTGTGCATTTGGTGACATTTTTGTATATTCAGTTCTGCCCTTTCTTGTGTAATCACTTCCTCTTTTTTTATAAGAGGATCTTTTCACCAAGAGAATCAGAAGCAATAAAAATGAATCTTTACAAACGAAATATCTTCAGAAGTTGAATATTTGACTTGTGGATATGTACTCTATGGCAGCATTTCTCAACTCGTGGGTCACAAGACTATATGAAAGGGTCACTAACAAACTTTAAAAATGGATTGACAAACTTTAAGAATAGGTTCTCCTTTGAAGGAGAAAAATGTGGGGAAACCATGGGTTTCCCTTTGCAGGCTGGCAGAATTACAGCCTACAAAGGGGCTGCTTGCCCCCCCCCAGTCTTCCTCTCTGCCCCATAGACTGCGGGACTGGGGGTGAGGGCAGTGGGTCAGGAATGAGGGGCATTGGGTCAAGACTGGCTGTCTATGTTTACGAATGGGTCCTGGTACAAAAAGGGTTGAGAACCACTGCTCTAAGGGAATACATGGTCAATGTCACTAGACAGCATGTTAATGCTTTGATATATAGACCTCTAAATATTGTGGTTGTCAGTTTTTAAAGTTTATGGTATCAACTATTTTCATTTGTGTAAATGTGAGGTCTTGGGAATTTATATACAGCTTTCTGTATACTGCTTTCAGTGTTACCCATTGAGAAGGTTTTATAGGTAGGGAACTCCATGTAGATCACTTATTAGAAGTGTTTTGTTTGCAATTGCTTGGACTTCTCAAACTAAAAATTATAGTATTTTTTTTCTTTACAGTGTTCCATTGGCAAGCTACAATAATGGGACCAGTAAGTATTATGAATTTCATGTCTTAGTGCAAGTATCATTTGAAATTGATTCTTCCTTAATTATTCTTCTAATTGAACAAAATGATTCTTTGCCTTTAACAGAATGACAGTCCCTATCAGGGTGGGGTATTTTTCTTGACAATTCACTTCCCAACAGATTACCCCTTCAAACCGCCCAAGGTGAGTGGCTTACATAAATCTAATTTAGTGCTGTGGAACACAATCAACATCATGGAGCCTCATTTGATATATTCCTTCTCCTGCAGGTTGCATTTACAACAAGAATCTATCATCCAAATATTAACAGTAATGGCAGCATTTGTCTTGATATTCTACGGTCACAGTGGTCTCCAGCACTAACTATTTCAAAAGGTACCTCCAATACTCATTTAATCTTCTGCTTTTAAAGTGACATACTGACATGTATTTTGTACTGTTATGTAAAAGCTACTGTGCTGCTACTATGAGCTGCTTATAGTAGCAACTTTTTAGTTTTGTGTTCAAACTTTTAGCTCAGTAACTAATTTGTGAATCCTGGATGAAAAATATACATCCATTTGAGCATTAAGCGCGGTCTCCCTGTAGCCAGTAGGATAAATTATAGGCTCACTGGTGTGTAGTGAGAGAATTAGTCACAACCCCATTCTTAGTTTGTATCTTGGTATAAATGCATTTGAACCATATACTGTTTATGGGAGTTTAAGATTATATGGAGCAAGAGTCCCCCTGCTTAGAAAGGGAAAACATCTCTTATGATCTGTATCTGAATACCTAGACATAATAAAATAAAAGTTGTTAAAAAACAAATTAAATGTGCTGATGTCAGGCTTACATGACTGCTTCATGAAGCACGCAGCTTAATCAGAGAAACATAGTAGTAGCAAATCTTCTTAATAGCGCAGTAATCTTTTAAACTATTGCCCTACATGTCAAAAAATAAACCTTTAATTTAGTGTGTGTTTCTTGTATGGTGTGTGTGAGACTAGAGGGTTTTAATTTATGAAGTATTAGGACATGTTGCTTGCCCACGTTAATGACAATTGTTCTTCAGGATGATGCACAGTTGAGTTATGAAGACTCTTAAGACCAGATATTTCTAGAAATATATCTAAAATGCACAGGGAACTGTCTCCTTTAACAGCTTTATCCTCCTGGGTTTGCAATCCAAGCTATTCTTTCTACTAAATCTATATCTTGATGACTTCTCGGTTTGTGGCTTGCTTCCATTAAAGTGTTTGGATATATTTGGCAGCCTATAATATGATAAGCTTTTCCCTGATTACATGGTCTTTTGCTCTCTTCTCTTGTGTTTATACTCCTTTTCTGCCTGCTCCCAGCAGGTGCTTCTCTTGCCTAGTTTCTTTCTCTTTTTTTTTTTTTTTTTTAATTCCAATACATGTTATCCAGTTTCCTGGTTTTTTTTCCCATTAAAATGCTTTGCTACCTCTTTTTTCTTTGCATAGTAAAATTTCCTAATGGGGGCAGCTATGCTGGCTAATTTTGAGCTCCATGTCCTGTTCCTTACCAGGGAAGAACTCCCCTTTTTACATCTGAGAAAGCAAATGGAAACAAGGAGTTAGTGTCACATGACCTGCCCACTTGCTGTGGACCAGTGCATGAAGTTGAAAGTGAAAGATGTCTTTAATACATGCTGTCTAAAGGGTTTGTTGGTATTGATACTGCCTCTTCAGCTGAAGTCTGACTTAGTCTAATTAAGCTGCTGACTTACAACTTAATACAAGTTTCTGCAGGCAGTTTATCAAAGCATACAAGGGTAGATACTTTCAACCACTGTCACTGTAACTTCTCTTGTATGATTTCATTTTTCTGCAAAGCAGCTGTTTTTCTCCATTTTGAGGAGGGGCCCCAAGTGGAGCAGTGCAAAGAAGGGGGTGGGAGAGTGTAAATTGCATCTTCTAACATGAATGAGAAAAGAGGAAACCAGCAAAGCTGGAACCAGGACAGAAAACAAAACACTAAGAATATAAGTGCCATACTGGGTCAGACCAGTGGTTCACCTATCATTGAACTGGGTATATCTAGAGTGATCTATCCCCTATTCATTACTTTCCTTGGAATCCACCATCATTGGTTTTGAGATCAGTCAGATGCATCTTGGTTATTTGTTAATAAATCTGTCACCAGGAGTTAGCTAACCACTTGCCATTTTTTAACAGATATTAGTACTGTATAAAATAGTGTCATGCATCTTAGTCCTAGTAAAGTGCTTTTTTTTGTAAATTCATCAGGTGGATGCTGTTGGCGCTCAGCATGCTGGGATTCTTGAACTTGACTGTCTGTTTGCTTCTAACCTTCCTTGGGTTTCAGTCTCTCTAGTGTTCTTAGTATGGGCTGTCTGCAGCCCGTACCAAGGGGATGCAGGTGTCCTTATAGCCCAGCTATCAGGCTTTTGAACAAGTGTAGACTTGTCCAGAGAGAGCCCAGTTGTTTCAGCATGCAGTTTCTCAACTCTCCAACCTTACTGTCACTCATTCTCTGTTTTATGGACATTTGTTTTCTTGCTACTTGTGAGCATTCTTTTTAAAAGTTCATGATTCTTTCTTTTATCCCTGCTTCTTGCAGGGGACTTCTTTCCTGAAACAAATTGGTTCTCCCTTCATAACACCTGAGTTAATTAAATTCTCCTGCATTTAAAATCTTTGCATTTAAAAAAAAAAAAAAAAAAAAAAAAAGGGGGCAGTCTATAGAGGCTAACTTTTGATTGGAAAAATGTAGCAGGTCACAAACTTTGACCAGAATTCATTCTGCATGCTCTTAAGGTTTGGTATTCGTATCTTGTGGGGAAAAGAATATGCTACAAAGGAACATGAGCTCTGATTAAAAATGGCAGAAATAAAATAACTCTGCCACATCTGAATGTAGAAGCAAACTGTTTGGTTCTCCAGAAACTCTGGAGTTTTGAGAAACTTCTGTTCTTGGTACAGAATCAGATAGAGAACAGAAACTTCATATATTCCATATGAAATTCTGGTACCGTTTTTCAGGGCATAAGACATTGGAAAGTTTTGGGGGAAAGTGGTGTCCCTGTAGTCCTCCCTCTTCTCCCTGTTGCCCATGAAAGTTGATTCATAGCTGCAGTGTTTCTTGTACCGATTTCTGAACTGTCTGATGTAGCCACTACCTAAACAAGTTACAGAACTAAATGGTGCTAGCCTGATTTGGAAAGTCAGTTCACATCTTGCTTTCAAAGCAGCTTTGGGAAACATCTGTGTT